TTTTCAAAAGCTTACCAATCCTATGGCCCACTTGTTCTACGATTGATTTGTCGTAGAATTTCATTGGTAATTGTGGCAGCCTGGTCCAAATTGCCATTATAGATAGTTTGGACTCTGTCGGAATAAAATTAGGCTCCTACCAGTGTACAAATAGAAAATGGCTGGTCACAAACCATGATCTTTCCGTTAGAATTTTATTCATGCTCTCTTCTAGGCTGAAATTCACAATGACGAAGTCCACCCCAGATCGATGAGATTAATGGTTTAATGGGTTTCCATAAGTGTGCAAGCTTTGCTCGCAGCAGCTGGTGTGGAATTCCCTCCCCCCAAATAGTTTTACTATTAGGGAGTGCATCCAGGGGTAGTATAATCTGGTTTTGTCTTCATTTGATAAGGGAATTGGGATATTCCCCGTGTTCAATTCAAACAGAGGCCTGGGTGGCGGTGGGTGATTTAACTCAAAAGAGGTGGAAGAGACAAGTTTTTTTCCAGTAGAATTTCCTCCTCCATATCAATCTGAGGGGCTTCAGTAGGAAGATCTGGTGGTTTCGGTGGAATTTCTCTCTCGTTTCTATGATCCAAACAGACATTGTAAATAGGGGGAAAAAGATATTGAATGTCAAAGAAACAAATGACACCCTTATATTTTATAACCAAAAGCATAAAAGAGGGAGCAAAACTAAATTTGTTTATCAAGATGCAAACAATCCTTTGGCCTCGTTTTTTTGTACTTATGTAACTTAATCAATAATAGTGTGGAAGAGCACTTGCTTTCTTACCAATAGATAGTGATTTCAACAGAATTATACTGATTCTTCATCTAATATTGAATGATGTGCTAGGCCACCTTTTATTTGAGCACTTATTTATGGAAAAGAAAATCTTCCCAAAAATCAAGTAACTCCTTTAACTGGTAAATAACCAAAATTCAAAATAGGAGATTCAATTGGTTGGGACCGTTCACTTACATTTACTCACATGAGTCACATCGGCTTACATAGAAACAAAATGAATGAAACTCACAGTAATGCAATCAAACACATAAGATTCAAAATATTTATTACAACCAAATGTAATATAAAAGAAAAAGAAAATCCTAACCAATCCTATCTACCTTTTTCTATACTTTTTTCTAGCATCCCGAAATTTTATCCACAAACAGCCTCCAATAAAAAATATACTTCGTGGCGTTTCCCCGAAGTATACATGAGATTTAAAAAAAATATAAAGCACCCAAGCAATTAACTGGGCCTAGAGTTTGCCTATTTTTTTCATATATATATTTTAAACTTATTTACTCAGTTTTAGCTAGGTTCCTATTTACGTAAAGTAACAAAAGTTTTTTACAAAATATATACAAATTCGATCAAAAGTTATAATTGATATACAACTTAAATATAATATTTTATTGTAGGGAATCCAAGCAAAAGCTACAAGTTACATATAAGTTATATACAACTTGAATATAATTATGTTAGTGGTATATATTTTGTATATTATTTGTACACCCGACATACAAAATATATACTTATTTATGCTTTTTTATTCGAGTTTCAATCTGAAATCTCAACCAAAACTAACTCGAACCTTCACCATATTTTCTCAAAATTGAGATATAAACTTCAAAGGATATTCCCAATTATTTGCAACAACACAAACAAATAATAATTTTACAAAATTCGATTTTCGAATTTAAAGCTTCGAATTTTTTTAATGGGTGACAATAAGTTTTTAACGGATTAACAGGGTTTCCAATTCAATCTGCTCGCTTCTGATTTGAAAGCTAAAGAGAAATGTTTTGGCGAAATGGCTTCCTAGCCACTTAAACTTGTCGGGTTTTTTAAAGCCGATACATAAACTTATAACTTTCCCATTTGAACACTCGAACTCGTTTTTTCCATAACTAATAAACACATCTGACCATTGACCATGTGCGCGTGTATTGCACATACACATACGTGTCCATCCAGTTAGCAAATGACCAATGGATGTCTTACACGTAAGGGCACAAAAAGTCAAGCAGCAACTCATTCTCTTTGACTGCTTTAGCGTTCTTCTTCATCAACAATGGCTATCTGCTTTTCATTATTTTGTTTCACAGGTGGCTCAGCTTGATCCTTTTCCATGTTACTCTTTCGTTCCTCTTCCTTCTTTTCTTCCAGCTTTTTTATTTCAAGGATTCAACAGTTAACAAGATAGTGCCCTAATTTCCTACAATGTTTGCAGAATTTGGGTATGTTTGCAGACCTTCAATTTCAATCACCCGCTTATATAGAACAAATTTGTAATCTTCATCATTAGTGAAGCTGAGAAACATATTTAATTTATCATAAACTCCAATTTTTGCAGATCCCTTCAAAGGGAATTTTTTTAGAGAATCTTGACCTATAATTCGGGATCGGGTCTTCAGAAATCGACCAACAATTGTCCTCTTACATTGAGCCGCCATGATGACATAGTAGTCTCTTGTTTTGAAGATCACTGTCGGCATGCCGTTGTATATCGTCTTTCTAGCTTGGAATTTCAAAGAGAATCCGAAGGCCCTCCTTATTGAAACTTGAAATACCCCAGAATCTCTTCTTCTATGCATAATGAAAACATGGAAGAAAACATTGCAGAATTAGGCCCTCCTAATTTCCCTACTTTCCACCATTTTCACTGTCTGAAAAATGAAAAAAAATTGAAAATAGAGCTTCAGATTTTTAAAAATGGAGGAAGGGGGTATTTTGTACTGTTGGGCGTTGGGAAGGGGATTTTCACGCTCCTGTGCGTCGTGTTCCTCACGCGGGCTGCTGATTAGGACCAACTGACGCCACATGGGCATGGTCAATGGTCAAATGTGTTTATTAGTTATGGAAAAAACGAGTTTGAGTGTTCAAATGAGAAAGTTATAAACATCTATCGGCTTTAAAAAACCCGACAAGTTTAAGTGGCCAGGAAGCCATTTCGCCAAATATTTTTGGTAGTAGAATTAGCATTCCCTATGGAAAATCCAAGACCAGATTTTCCATATGAGAATGGAGGCTAATTGATAATTTAGTTTGATATAGTATATGTTAAGATTCTAGCGAGGAAGAAAGGAAATTATCACTAATTCTTATGTAATTGATAATTTGTATATGAGAATATAATTAAGTTATAACCTCTCTACTAGTGGGCTCGCATCAATGTGGGATATCAAGATGGATGTGCGATCAAGACAAAATTAGAAAAGATTAGAAATTATCATATTCACGAGAAGGTTTGTGTAATATACATTGATATAAAATGAGAGAACGCCACTTGACTTGATTTGATCACGACCTCCAAATGCACTGACTTATAGGTGTAAAACCATTGTGAATGGATGTGTAAAAGGACGATGTAGACCTAAAATCACATGGATTTGGAAATTACCTTGAAAAACGTAACGATATATTATTACTTTTGCTTTAGGTCTTATAATTTTTTAGCAGATGTTGAACCTTTAAGAGATATACTTTTAGAAAATATAAAGAACTTCATAATTTTCTATATGTATTTGCATAATATTGGTTTGAAATGAATTTAAATAGTGTAATATGATTAGTGACGATTCATACGACTGAATTAAGAAGTAACTAGTTTTGTTGTTGTATGCAAGATAGTTTGTTTTAGGAAGTAAATGAAGAAGGGATTGGTAACATATTGTAAGTTGTTGCTATTGTCTAGTGTCCTCTCTATCTCCTTTCCTCCTGTATTCTTCTCATCTCACTGCTCTCGTTCTCCCCCGGTTACTGTTAATAATCTTAGATTCATTGTAATATTTTCAGTGCTTTCAATATTATCAGATTATTTGGCTCCCGACTGGTACGATATTAATCTGATAAGGCAATCAATCTGTATGGCCTAACGTGATTGCTCAAGTAATTTTTAAAGTCGACACTCCCAATGAACAGAGGTCTTCCCTATTTCTGAAGGAAGAAAAGAAAAAGGAAAAAATTGGCCCAGGGAATTGCTAATTAGCTCAGTGTGTTATACCCTAATAACCATTTTCTAATGATAAGCCGTACATAAAGATTTTTGTTATCATTTTCACCAACAAATTATGAGAAGTTTTGAGGTGTATGTTGCATGCTTTTAGAATTCTTTTCTTGTGACTTTGACTATTCATACTTCACCTTCGTGATTGTTTCTCCGAACTTTAAGGTTCTAATAATGAATCCCACTTCAATTTTCATGTTTAAATGGGTTATTCCAATTGAACAAAAATGAAAATTATCTAAAGAAGAATTTCCTCTTAGTAATTGTTACTAGAGTAGGCGTTCGAGCAACTCGGATTGCATATAAAAATTTCGGTTTGGATTTTTAATTTTCGGATTGAAGAAATGATAATCCAAATCCAATCGAAATAAGTTCGGATTGGATCGGATTTCTTGAGTTCAGTTTCGGATTAATCGGTTAGCATTTTCTTGGACTTTCGATTTTGAGCTTATAGGTTGAGATGTTTTTCATTTTACAAAAATGAATATCCAAATGAAGTACTCATGTTAAATTGCCTGAAAAATTTCTCATTCTCACCGCAATCATCCAAATGAAGTATTCAAGTAATGAAATTATTATCAAAAAATACAATAAAGACATTAATACAGCCGATAAGAAGTAGAAATAGTAAACCATATCCAAATAGAAAGTATTCTCACAGTAACTTAGTAATTAATATTGAATATATGAGATAATATCTAATGGATAGGATACTAAACTTATTACTATTGACATATGGATAATGGATTAAATATAAAATATAAGACTTTCGGATCGGATATCCAACAATTCGACAAACCAAATCCAATATCCAATCTAAAATCCAAAAATTTTAAAAATTAAATCCAAAATCCAATCCGTAATCTGAAAATCCAAACCAAAAATCCAAAAAATTCGGATTTCAATCTGGATTTTGGATTTGCCCAAACTATGCCCACCCTAATTGTTGTCCCAATAGCTTGAACCTCCTAATTCTATACCCTGAAATAGAAACTAACTTTACCTTGAACAAGACAAGCTATGGATTTCATTAAAAGCAGCATCATTGATTTCTACAATAAGTCATTGCTATTTCCCTTGGAAGATTGGACAAAGCAATACAGTATTTAAATGGTCAGTAGGGTACAACAGACCGAGTTTCCAATCCCCAGAGGCAATGATACATAACCAACAGCAGACATTAATGGAGACCTCAAGGCCAATCTGATTTCTTCTTTAATTACTTTCTCATATAACACAAATTTACAGTCACAGGAGACTCTCTAGGATGATGGATATTTGTTTATGTACAAAAAACTTCATCATCTCTTCTTTTTGTCTTCTTTGGCTCTTTCAAGAACTACAGGAGCTGCCGGGATACTGAACCACCACTCCCTTAGTCTCCTACTCCATCTTTCTGTGCTTGCTTTCCGAAGAGGTGAGTATCTTGTGAAGAGTTCCAGGAAACTCATAAGGATTATGTATCTCGAAGGTACGAATGCCAAAACTAGTGCCGAGACCAAAAGAGCACCCACTAACTTCTCGCTTGCCTGAAGAATAACAGGGATAAGATGTAGGTTCAATTAAATTATCTACATCCAAATAACAATGGGATTACCATTAATCACAGTTAAGCAAAGACATATTATTTAAACTCCTATCACAAGATCAACTCTGTTATGCGAAGGAATCATCCAGGATGCATCGGCACAGCAGCAAACCGAAGTTTTCAGATAAAGGAGTTTTCAACTTCTAGTTAACTAGCAACTTGACTAATAAGATTGCTCGTCATAGAAGGAAAGAGCTAAAATTCGCACAAACCTGTGGGAAGATGGACAAAAGTAAAGCGCGGAACTTGAGAAGAACGATGTTTCCGTCCTGGATCACTTCTTCAGCTTGAGATATTGCAGTTTGAACAGCCAAAAGTTGCTCCATGGCATTCATTGGAGGTGGAGTTATTACTTTTAGTTCATCAACTGTCTTGCCTTGACTAAAACAGCGAGTAATTACCAAAAAGACAGCAAAAAAGGTGAGCAATAGTGCAAAGCCGTAGCACAGCCATCCCCTGCAACCAACAAAAAGAGAAAGAAAGAGGTGGGCATCAGTGAAATTTTTTCAACCACCACATTATGAAGAAATTTCATCCATGCAAGGGAATGTACATGGAAAAACAAAATCCAGAGCATCAAAAGGCAGGTCAACAGAAACTATCAGACCGCCTTTTAGTTGGAAATGCCACAAATTAAGGAGAAAGAGAAATAAATTATGAGAACCAAGGTGTTTCTTAGGACTTTAAAAGACTGAATAACTAAAGTATCTAGTAGGACAGAAAGAAACTTGATAAGCCATAAAATCCCGAGCATTCAGTTTCCTCTGTTCACGGGCTAATATACAGATGATCCAGATAGGCTTTGATCCTTTCCCATATAAACCCATGTCACAAGTATTTTATCGATAGGTGGGATTCACATACTTGATGAAAGCAATAACAATTAAATAACTGTTACATGATAGCGGCAATGATGAAGAAAGAATTAAAAGATCATTTTTCATTTCACTTGTATTTTTTATGTATACTACCATGTTGTATACTAGTTGGCAAATTTCTGTGGGTAACTAGGGTCGAGTAAATGAACAACTTGCACATGCTTTTGACACCAGCATGGTGGTCAATGGAGGTTAAACCACGTGAAATTAGAGCAATGGAATGCAATTGAACCTTTTTATTTTTTGGGAGTAAACACAGGGATGTAACTGATGTGAATCTGTTTTTTTGGTTCCCCGAGTTTTGCATAGGAGCCGCCAACACTTCTGTAATTATGCATCTTCTGGATGCTAGTATTAATAAAAATAACTTTATTTCACCGGAAAAAAAAAAGGAAATTAGAACAATGGTCTCTTCTATTTGAAGGGTAATGGTAAGAAGAATGGTCTTCTAATGACATTCCACCAAAAGAACTCAGACCAAAATGATATCCACTTGAATTTACTTAGCTAAGAAACATAAAACTACAATCTGCACAGAGAACATAATACTCACAGAGACTCCAATAAAAACCCCAAAAGTGCAACTTTCAAATTTGGAGAAGGTAAAATTTGCATCCAC